TAAAAAAAAGAATTACATCTAAATTAAAGGATGTATTGGGGGGGGAACCAGCAGAAAAGGACCTCATTTATGACAATCATGATTTATAACAGTTAAACACTAGCTTGCTGATAATGAGTATTGCTGATAATTGAACTATGAAGAATTAAAACTACAATGGAAAATGCTACAGGAGAACAGTGGTTTCCATTATTCTAACAAATATGGGATGCTGCTACTGTTTATGACTATTTTTTCTGAACTGTTAAAATTTCCCAAGCAGGTAAAGCCACCACAGAAAACTTACCAATTAGTAACTAAAGCTCTTGCCCATTTATAGAAATAAGAAAATGCATTGTATTAAACGCAAGGCTAGTGAAAAAGCTATCAGTTTGTATGTTCTATCTACCCACCCATTATCTATCTGTCTGTCTGTCTGTCTATCAATCAATCATCTATCTATCAATTGTTGCTGCTACAGATATCAAGTAGCCAAGGTGGTTTCTAAGTTACTATGTGGCAGAAACTGGTCTTGAATTTCTGATTGTACTGTCTTCACTTCCCAAGTGCTAGGATCACCGATGGTATCATCACACCTAGTTTTACCAGTTTGTTCTTGTAATTCAAGAAGATTGCTAGTAACTCAATTCTTAAATTGTTGCTGAAAATTGTAGGTGAGATGGTTTCTAAAGCTTATAACCAGGATGATGTAATTAAATATTAGAATATTGTTTAATTCCACCTCCATCATTTGCAGCCAGTATAGTACAAACAAAAAATTATTAGCTGGCCAAGCAGCGTGAATGCACCTCAAATTTCTAGTGAGGTCTCTTTGTATTCCTAGTCACTGATAACAGTCCAAGTCTGATCAATAGCAATAAGAAGGACTTTTATGTTTATCATTTTTATATACTTTACTTTCATGTAATGAAGCATAAAAGTATTTCAGTGTACAGAAAAGGTACAAAGTTGCTATCTGTCAAATTAAGTTAGAAACATATTAGTAAGATTATCAGGAAATAGGGCTGGAGAGATGGCTCAGCAGTTAAGAACACAGGTTGTTCTTGCAGAAGACCTGGGTTCGAATCCTAGTACCCACATGGCAGCTAACAACTGTCCATAATTCCAGTCCCAGAGGATCTGACAGCCTCTTCTGACCTCTGTAGGCATTGCACGACACAGGTGCACTTACCTACACACATGCAATACATGCATACACATAAAATTTAAAAAAACAAACAAAAACAGCAGAAAATATTCTAAGCTACTCTTGGCTAGATTTCCTATTAACTGATCAATGACCAACTCACTCTGTTCCCTATATCATCTGCATTGGGTTTACTCTTTTGAGGCAGGGTCTCACTATGTAGCCCTGACTGGCCTGGGACTCACTATGCAAACCAGGCTGGCCTAGAATTCAGGGATCTACCTGTCTCTGCCTTCTGAGCTAGAATTAAAGGTATGCAGCACCAAACCAGCCCTGTATTTGTTTTCCATTGGATGAAAAGCCTTGCTGCCAACTCTCTTTCTCCCTCTGAATGTACTCCTGTCCCTTAACAGTTGTGGGACAAGCATTTCACTATCAATGACTTATTTAATTTTTTTTTTTTTGTCTTTTTGAGACAGGGTCTCCCTGTAGCCCCAGCTGTCCTGGAACTCACTATGTAGATCAGGCTGGCCTCAAACTCACACA